TTTACACCCCTAATCAGCAGGTGATCTGCTTAAACGTTTAGATCTTTCAACCTCTGTTCTTTAAGGGACGTCTTGGATTCGGTTATGTTGGCAACCTTTAGCAATCACTGCTGTTTGTAGCTACAAATGCTACCCACAAGCACAAAATTTTAGAAAATAGTTTAAATGTCCCAACACTGCGTATTTAGCATGTTTCAGAATAATAGTCTATGCCTTTCTTTTCAGCAACTACTATCACACAATAACTTTGACATTGATATTGATCCCCAATATAAAACATTATAGTCTTTATTTTAGCTTTCAAAGGGGAATTGGACTCAACTAAAAGTTGTATCTGCAGATAAAAGATGAAAAAAACAAAGAACTAAACAATAATTCATAAATTACTGATCTAAAACACAGGACTGAGTTTCTAAAGCTGGGCTACTTCATTTGGTTTGGACATTATTGCAGCTCAGTAACTGCTAGAGAGTAATACAGGATGGGTAAATGAGGCCCAGATGGTTAGCAGGTAGCTACCGCGGATTTGACCAGAAGCTGAGGTCATAATAAATAAAACCTGTTTTTCCTTCACAGGAAAAAGCGCATGGAAACAGTTTCTGGGCTTGAAGAGCACGCTCTGTTTGCTCTCTGTGTCCCCCCCACCCCCTTTTTCTTCTCCACCACTACAACTTCTTGGGCTCCTGCCAAGCCCTCTAGGACTCTGGGCATCCCATGTCAACAGTTTACACCCCCACATCCTGTTTGGAGCAATAAGGAAGTGATAGTCGTTTCCTGCTTGCACTATTGCCAGCTGCCAACATCAGCCCACTGACTAGCTTTCCCCTCCGATGACGTCACAAGGAAGAATAGGAGGCCCCAACTTGACATGCTGAGGAGGATCTGGTGGTACTGGCCCAAATTTAACTTTCCCAAAGGCCTTTTAGTTTCTACTTTATAGCAGAATCTGTCCTCTGAAGAAGCAAAAGCAGTTCTGCAATGACTGCCTGCTTGGTGGCTCACTAAACCTTGAGCTTTAAATACCTTTACTTTTTTTTTTTTGGCCTCACCTCTTCATCAATAACAGATGCTTTCCCTCTTAAAAACATATATTGCTGAGGATAAAGCATGGAGTTGCAGTAAAGATAAACTCTGACAGATTACTTCCTGTTGAAGACAGATGTTTCCACTCTGGCAGTTAACACTTAATAAAATCTGGTACACTGTCCTGAGATTTTTCGAAGGGAGATTTTATTCATGCAAAGTGTAAAAGCATTTCAAAATCAGCCTTTTTTTAATGTAAACACAAAATAAGTTTGAATCTCTCCCCTGTAAAGGCAGGACGGAGTTACTGAAACTAACACTGGGCATCAGAAGAGGGGTTTATTTGTAGTGTCATTAATTTTCTGTCTACTGAAGCAACTTTACATTGCTATTAAAACTTCCATTTTTCTATCAACTCGTTCTTTAGAGACCCGTCTGCATTTAAAGTATGGTCACGTTTTCTCAACCTGGAACTGGATCCTCCCTAAAGGTAAAAGGCTGAGGAAATATATGACCAGGTGTTTTCTGTTGGAGGTAAATGGAGGGGTGGGGGGTGGGCAGTAAATCCTCCTGGTTCCGCTTGCCGGCTTTCTGACACTCAGAAAAAAGAGGCTCTGACACATGCATAGTGGAACAACGGTACTGCTGCAATTTTTCATTGAAAGTTTATGTCTACAAAAAGGATCTTTTCATTAACCAGTATGGGAGGCGGTGTCGTTAATTTTCTGGAAAGGAAAAGGACAAGCTTCCTGTGTCTAAGGAGAGTTTATCGTTGCCTTACATAAGTTATAGATTTATAAGTTTGAGCTGGCAATGAGGATATCCTGTGCTGGACCAGTGAGGAGAAAACTACAATAGAGAAACGATAAAGATTTTTTTTTTTTTTTTTGAATGAAGCAAGAGCTTATTCTTCCTAAGAACCCTGCAGAGTGCGGCAGATTGGTAAACAGCGACACCTTGTGGTGTCTGCAGACCTGTAGAAAAGTAGTGGTCTACAATAAGAAAAATATGTTTATAACATTTTTATATTGTGCTGCTTCACATTTTCAATCCTCAATATATTTTTGTCAGAAACAAAAAAGGTTGATAAATAACGTCGATAAATAAAGAAGAGGAACGAAAAACGTGAAAGATTTTCAAACTATTGAGTACTAAAGCATAGATTCCCTTGTTACTCTAACTACCTTTAAAAGCAGTAATTAGAATCCAACTTAATCCAGCTGTCCTGTCAAGGCAATATAGGTTTAAAAAACATTGGTAAAGAAAAAGCCTCAGTAAGACCAAGGAACATAGCAGACAGGTCAGAATTGGGGTTGAGGAGAAGTATGAAGTATGAAGCAGGGTTAGGTCATTATCCCCAGCTTTGGAAACCTCAAAAATACATGACCAGATCAGTAGAGCAAAAGGACAAACACCAGAGAGGCCAAAGGCAGCTCTGCAGGAGCTGCAGAAATCTACAGCTCAGGTAAAATAATCTGTTCACAGGAATATTAGAAGTTGCTCAACAAATCTGGTCTTTGTGTGACAATGGTGAAAAGAATGCTACCGTTGAAAAGCAGAAGTAAAGTCTTATCTAAGGTTTGTCTCAACCTATGGAGGGGAACCTGCAAATATCTGGATGAGGCTGCTCTGGTTAAAACTCCATTCAAAGGGTGACAACGTATAGATGAAAACTAGCATTGCCTAAACCTAAACATGCTCTCCCCACTGTCACTACTCGATCCATCCCGCGAATGCGCATCCAGATATACAACCGGGTGTCCATAAATACTGTAATTATATTAAAACTACTTATTTCTATCCTTATCACACCTAAGAATGCTAATACACATCTTTAATAACTGCTTCGGACGTCATCATCGGACATGCTAAGGGCAGTCCGGCAAAATATGATTAAACCATGTTTATTGTCATTACAGTTGTTTCTTTCTTTAAATTACGCACTATATAACATAAGGTTAAAACGAAACGAAAACATGAAACTCAAAAAGACAAGATTTACGTTTAAATCCATGACGAGGGATAAAAAAATAAAGGATTTTAAGGCATTTATTTTCTTAGGAAATACATTATTAACCTTTAACACATTATATTTTAGTACGATTACTATTTTTGGGGAGGGAAAATGTCATTTAGGTATATTTAACAAAATCAAGGACAACCCAGATGTATATCTGGATGCGCATGCGCAAATGAGCTGATGGCGCATGCGCAGAATAAGTCATGCTTCCGGGAAGGATCGGATAGTGACACCCACTGTGAAATGTGAACTTTTCTTCATCCATGAAAGAGAAGTCAATCCGGGTTGATGGGAAGGTGGATGGCAGCATGATTAGACCGATTACTACTAAATCTAAATCCTTGGAGACCTGTGCCTTTCAACGATTTGAAGTGTCCCTAGTCCAACAAACCTAATTAAAGGCTGGCATACCTAGAGTCCTACTAATGGTACAGCTAGTTATAGGGGGTTAAATAATAATAATTTTATATCGATGCATTGATCCAACAGCCAATAATCCGATGCATCGACACGTCAGCAAGAGTATCGATTCATGTTTTTTTTTTTTTTTCCTCCAGTCTATTTTTATTATCCATTTGCTCCTGGATGTAATTCTGACTCCTGTGTTTCGGTGGCGCTAAACCTATTTTGCCCTCCTACCTCGCTTCCTTCAGCCACCACCCTCTTTCCACTTGCACACACACATGCGTATATTATTTTTAAGTGAATGTGGTTTTCATAGGTCTAGGTAGAGTACAACTTTGCTACTTCTGTTATTTGCTGTTGTTTCTCATATAAAATATAAAGACATTACATCTTTCATGGATTTATTTCAAATTTGAAACATTGTCTAGCCTATAAGATCAGAAAAAAGAAAATTAACGAATGAATTGAATCGTATTGTGGTGTGTTCTTAAATATGGAAAATAATCGAATCGTTGGGTCAGGAAATTAATACTGAATTGAATCGCCATGATGGGTGTGATTTACACCCTTAGTTAATTATGTCTAAAGCAGGGACATATGTGAAAGCTGCAGCACGCTTGCCCTCAATGACTAGAGTTTGATATCTGTGCTTTAGCTTAAATATATTCAGGAATTAGATGGTCTAGTCAAAGTACAGATTTGATACCAAATAAAAATCTGTAGCAAGATTTAAAAACTAATGTTTACAGATGTTGGAAAAATTATCAGACTGAGCCAAACCATGAGCTACCTGAATTAATGCTAAAGGTGGTGCATGCTACATTGCTACACTTCCATTTGTAGACAAGTTTAAAAACCGATATTTCATTTCATCTCACAATAAAACACCACTTTGCATTTTATGCTATGGAAAATCTCAAGGGTTCCCACTTGTATCGTAACTTAATCATAATTTCTAGAGTATTGTATGTACGGTAATGTTACAACTAAAAATAAGATGCAAGGGCTGCATTCAATATTTACCAGCTATATAAATACTTTCATTTATGCTTGAGGCACTATGATTATTCCAATACCTCTGTGGATAAAAAGGTTGCACAAAGGTTGAAATTAGAACAAAATCTGGACCCTGCAGTACATAAAAGTGGGAAATTACCACAAACCTACACATCACTTTCAGAGGCCCTGACCTGGCTATCCAACATGCAAATTACAATCTTTACCATTCACTATCAATTTAATCAACAAAACAAGATGGAACATAAATGATGACAGAGGGAGCACTATATCCATTTAACATGCTGGAAAATGACCCAAAACTAAAGTAACTGAAATAATATAAGATTATTGTTATCCTTTACCTGGTTTAGGAGCTTTGGCAGCGGTATCACAACCTGAGACAGAAGCCGAGTCGTTCTGTGAATTTTCTGAGCTTGCAGCTGAAGAATCCACCAAGTTTTTCTTAACTTCTGTAACAATGGGAGATTTTGGTACATTCTTTTCACTATCCGTGGCAGCAATATGTTTCAAGTCTGATTGACAGACTTTAGTGGGTTCAGGTGGACCAGCCTCCCCGGAAGCAGAGTCCATCGGCTCTCCTGCGTACCAAAAAAAACAAAACATTTTTATTCCATCAGTAGTTACACAGCATCAGCTCTGATACAAGATATCTGACAGTTACTGTTATTTGCAACATTAGACAAATGCTTTCCATGTAGGAAAAACTGTCTCACCCTCGTCCGGAGCTGCTGGCAACTCCCCATTGGAAATAAATTTGCTCATTTTCTTCAGGATTTTCTTGTGAGATTTAGAAGGCTGGAATTTCAGTGCATGACATCTTAAGAGAGAAAATAGTAAAATAATGTAAAAAAGGGTCATTTTGGGTGTACACGTCCACTCAAAGGCTTATATGCACTCATTACTGGCTGGGTAATAATTTCCTTGCTTTTGAGAGTAGGTTCAAGATACTTTTTTTCTCCGTAATTCATGTGTTTGACACTATTATCCTGCAGGAACCAAGAATTATGACTAATTTTTAACCACCTATACAAATTGTCAACCTCTGTGAAAAAATTACAATAGCAGAAAAACCATATATCAAAACTTTGGCTGTGATGAAGTAGGCAAACATTAAGATTCTAGAATATTTACACAAATCAGCAAAATCTACTCTAATAGGTTTTGTTGAACATAATTATGATTGTATATTGTGCTATGAAACTACTAATTTCATAATTATTATTTTTTGTACATATTTAATTCCAATCAAAATAAAAAAAAAAATTATAGTAATTGTAAAATATATTATTTATAAATGCATGCCCATGATGAGACCTTGTATACTTTTCACTGGATCCGAGCAGAACACCAGAATATATAATAAGAAATGATCCAAAATGTGAATAGTTAACCAAAACAATTACCTGATAGTATACTGTGGACAGCATGTCTTCTTCATTATGGGCTTATAAACATATTTCCCACTTCTGAAAAAGAAAACAATGGTAATCTTTATTATTAAAGCAGCACTGTGTTAACTTGAGCCACCAAGGGTGTTAGAGCTACAACTTTGAAGTTTAAAAGTACTAAAGGCCTCTGGTAGCACTGCACAGCCGCAAAATTAAACAGACTCCATGTTTGGAAATCTGATAAAAACAGCAGATCAGGACAATTCCCAAACAAGTTTACATGCATAACAATCAGATTGCCAATCTGCATTAAGCTAATCTCGTTCAGATTACAACTTCATTCCAAACCTACAAAGTCAGATATTTCGACTTGCATGTTTATTGACATATTTGGAAGTCTGGTCACTTTTGTCCGTGTAAAAAATGTTAAATTGGAGTTAAGTCAGCTGTTTGGGAGTATTTTTAAGTAAAAGATGTTAACAGAAGTAACAGAACCAACTTTCTTATAGAGGAACCTGGAACTGTCAAAAACACCCGACTGCAAGTTTACGTTTAGCAAAGTTGCCAAAAGGAGATAAAAAAAGGGAATTTCAACTGCATAGATCCAAGGGAAGAGTTCCCCTTTGTTTGCAAAAGTTATCAGAGAATATCTTCAAAACTTTTCATTACACACAACCTTTTTCTTGGTATTCCAATAAGCACTCGCTAAGGGAAAATACTAAAATATTAGTATTTCATGCTTGGGTTGGAAAAATCTGGTATCAGTGCATTTTTTAAAGATACAACAATAGGGGATAATAAAAATCCAAACAACACCAACATAATTGGAAAGCAGACACCAACAAAGACACAAAAAAAAAGGAAAAATATCGATGCACACCTTTCTTTTTTTGTCAAAATGTCCACAATTTTGCAAAATTGAGTAAAACCTTTATCAGTTTAATTTAAACCACATCTAAAACAAAAGAAAAACATACCTTCTCCATCCCCGATCAATTAAATCTTGATAGTCTTGTACAGTCATATTATGAGACCACATTCCTGGGGAAAAAAAAAAAAAACTTTAAATGCCTCCAAATAAATATTTTGTAAAAAAGTTACAGCAAAACTTGATTTTGAAAGGATTCTACATTTTTATATTAAAATATGATAAAACGAGTGTATTGCATTTTACATTGATACCTATTATAAACAAAGATAGAAATACTTGTATGCAGTTTTATTTGGAAAAATTAGGGTAGAAAAACTAATTCATAAACCAAATTTTAAATGGTGTCAAATTCATTTCAAATTAGTCTGGCTGTTTAACAAAAGACAAAGCCCCCTATTAAAGAACTTCTTCAGTAAGTAGAATTGGGTGGAAAAAAATTGTAGCATCTTAAATCAGATTTTCCTTAAGGATCCAGTCCCCATTTCCCACAGTGCTGAAAAGCCCCAGTGGAAACATACAAATCTGTTATTTGTAGCCACAGCAGATCTGCCAAAATCAGGGTCCTGACCTTATTTGCACACACAGCCACATGCACACTGTGCACAAACACAAACACTAATCTATGTGTCTGTACAGTCGGCTATCAGTTTACATCTGGAACAGCTAAGAGAACTGGCTGGATCATGGTTCACAACACACCCACATATCTGTAGTAAGTATAATGTTCCGTGTCCCGAGAGAATAGGGTTTAATTGGACTCCACAGAGAGGGGGAGAATAGAGCTTGATTCAACAGAGGAAAACTACCAAACACAACCAGCAAACATGAGATAAATGGCAAACAGATATGAAAGCATGATTGCTGCAACCAAGCGGTGCTGCTTAACTGGATTGAATGGATAAATCATTTAAATACTGGAGGACAAGTTACTTTCGAAACATCCATCTCAAACATTGTTGCCAGGTCTCAAGAGAGACAAGAGCAGCCAGGTCTACAATAGAAACCTAAAACAAGACTTAAAGGTATAATGGGGGATTTTTTGCGAATTTTTGAATTTGCCCATTTCACCCATTTCTCCTCGTGCAAGCTCTGTTTAAAAGTTTCTGTTCGCATCGCTCATTCAAGCTCACTTTCCAAAAGAACATTTGTAGTTTTTCCACTATGTCAGACTCTCAACCGGTAAGTGAAAATGAGCACGTAGGACGGCCTTAAATAAACATATCACCAGAAGGATTGACAATTAGGAGGACCACTTATTTTGATGATCATCCGGAAAAAGAACATCCTCCACTATAGCTTTAATAGCCAGCAGCTGCATTAGGAACAACTCATTTGATTTTTTTTTTTTTGGAATAATCTTTTAACCCTAAATTAATAAAAAAAAAAAATTCTAAATTAGGAGATCAGATGATCCCCAGGTAAATCTGACAGCACTATAACAGATGGGTTATCAAATTTATTTTTATGGTAATTGTAGGGCTGCAACTAACAATTATTTTTGCAAGTTGATTAATCTGGCGATTATTTTTTCGATTAATCAATTAATAATTGGATAGCAAAAGGTTCCTTAAAGAAGATTTTTACTAAATTAAACCAAATGAAACTAAAATGTTTCCACTTGGGGAGTTCTTGATTGCACATTTTGATATAATTACTGCTTTAGTGGGTCATTCTTTCGGCCACAGGCATGTTTTACGGTCTCTACTCCATTTAACGATTAATCGATTACTAGAATAATTGACGATTAATTCAATAATCGATTAATCCAATTGTTTTAGCCCCATTTAATTGTTGAAAAAGGAAGAGTTGTTGATCGGTGGCAGGAGCTTTGTGGTAGAAGGGTTGGCAATTCTGAATGTAACATAAGATGCTTGAACATAGTACAATTAATATGTACACTATACCTATATTTCAGATTAAAAGCTGCAGCTACAAGAAGCAAAATAAGTTCTGATCTAATTTACAGAACGGATGCCTTTAAATATTGAATTGACTACTTTATTAAGCCCTGAAGGGAAATTCAGTATGTGCTTAATTTCAGCTCACCATATAGCCACAAACAAATATACCCTAAATCTGATTCAGTTGGTGTCCTATTTGAATCTAGTGTAAGAATAATCAGATCAACGTCAATATACCGAACAGAGGCAGGGTTTTGAACTTTCTGGACAGCCGTATACTATATGACAAATAAGGGAAGCCATTTTGAGCAGACAGCAATCTCTGAAAAAGACTCAACTGAATAATAGAATAGAAAAAAAAAATAGTATACATAAAAACAACAAATTTAAAAAGCGTATTTCTAAATGTATAAATCAACAAGAATAAGAAAACTTCTCAGACGTCGCACAGAAGAAATTATGTATTTTTGTTTAATTCCACCAAATCTCACAAAGGATGGTGAGCAACAGTATAAATCCTATGCTGCTGATAGGAACATCGGAAGGTCCCTATGCTAAATGAAATATCACTAGGACGCATACTGTCTCCTACTTCCTTTCTTTCTGCTAGTAGACATCAGACAGCAGTTATGGTGACCGCTGACACACTGCAGCCACCGATTTGCACTATTCAGAAGCTTAGACAGATTACGACATCGGCAAAGTGGGTGTGTGCCCAGGGCTCCAGAGCCAAAGTTTTTTATTTTTTAAAATTTAAATAAAAGAAGTTTTTGCTTTCTAACGTATTTTCCAAGATGACTGAAGGATGATGGCACCAAAAGAAAAAAAAAAAAAAGATACAGTTTTTAATGGGAAAAGCAAATTCCAAAATGAAACTTTCAGTGTGGCTATTGATAGTTTATACGGGGATCTCAGCCACAGAATCAAAGCACCTGTGTAAGAACTTGTCTTGTGTTCTTTTCATGCAAGAAAACGCATCGGAAAGTGAGTAAATTGAGAAAGCCAACACATTCGCCTCTGCCTATCCTGCTGACTTGGACAGCAGTCTTGGAGATTAACTGATTCCCTTGAGATATTTTATTAGACAGAGGGACAAAATGTGCCTCCACCAAAGTCTCTTAAAACAATACTGGACTGTAGATAAGAGTCCTGTAGATAAGAGTCAACATTCCCTAATGTGTGCATCACACCGAGACTGACGCTTCTTGTCACAGTCTGTGAAGGAGAGCGGTTAGTTTTCTAAAGTGGTCAGGATAAAATAAACTAAGAACTATGATGACCCAGGAGCAGCCGAGCAGTTCGTCCCTCATGGCCATAAAGTTGAACTGGTCTGAGAGTTGGACTTAAGTGACATTAACCAGGACTTTTTAAGAAATATAAAAAAAAATCCGGCATTTTAGGAGAGATTTGGAATGTTTTATTGTTATGTGGCCTGATACATTCATCAGTGTTGATATATGTAGGCTAGATGGTGCAGGACTCCTGAAATGTAGTAGGCAGATGTAGTTCAAATAAGGCTAGGCTATTTACCATTTGCGTGGATGTTCAATAAGCATGGGCTCATGTCAATTTTTGTCCAGAACCTGTGGGGGTGATAATCCAGCAGACATTGAGTTACTTGTAAAAACAAGACCACGTTCACGCTTCTATATTAAATCCTACATCAGAGAACCAAAAAGATGTTTGATCAGGTTGGTGTCAGACATCTTTTGTTGCCAAACAAGAGGAGCCCTGACTGCTGTTAAGCGCCACACTGGGTCACATGACTCATTCAGTGATCGATCAGACCCCCGAAAGCAGGCCTGCTTTCAGTCGGCCCAAGAGGGTCCTTCATGTTTTAGAAGTTTTCCCTGCTTCAGCACAGCTCGCTCGTATTAATAGCTGATTAACAGGCTGTTGCTGAACTGCAATAATCAGAATCAGCTGTGCCGAAGCAGGGAAACCTCTAAAACCTGCAGGACAGAAGCCTTTGAAGGTCTCCTTAGAGCTGGCCTGCTCTAAACTTAGACAGAGTAGTTAAGAAAAGTAGCCCACACAAAGCAAGTGCTTTAAATAGACCTGGCAAAAAAATATCTATGTATCTCAAATTAAGCTAAAACTAGGGTCAAATGCACTGTTACTTTAAAGCCAAAAATGTAAACTGAACAATACATTTTATTAACTGCTTATTCTACATCAATGCCTCTAAATCTGCGAGCTTGCTACAATTTTGTAGCTGCTGAATAAAGTACAAAAGAAAGGAGTAAGAGCCATTGTCACTACCCGATCTGTACCTGAAGCCTGATCCATATTATTGGCTCATTTGCACACATGAAGGCATATATTCATCCAGGTCACCATAGATAATATAATTATGGTACTGAAAGTACGAACTTCTATCCTTAAACCACCAAAGAATGCTAAACTACATCATACAAAAAATTCTAACCACTTTTCTAAGAGAATCTAATGCATTTTTCATTCTCCACATTAAGTTGATGTCTGACATCATCACATATGTTCAAAGAAGTTGGACAAAGTATGATTACACTGTGCTTATCTGCATTTGGTCTTTCTTTAGATGGTGCACTACATACCATATTTGCAAGGTTAATTGTTTTTGTAGAGCAAAATACAGTACAAGGACAATTCAAAGAGCTTTACATGAATTAGACAATAAAATAGAGGAACAATAAAAGATTAAAAGCAAATGAAGATCAAGTATCAAACGCTGCACTGAGCTTCAATATTATCAGCACTGGGGTTCTTCCACAGTCTTAATTTATACGAATGTCATTGAACAGCTTAATCAGGGTAGTTTCAGTACTGTGGTTGGCACGGAAACCTGACTGAAAGTCCTCAAAGCAGCCGGTCATTGTTAAGAATGCATTTAACTATTGAAATACACCTTCTTCATTAATCTTCCTGCTGAAGGGGAGGTTTGAGATGGGCCTGTAGTTCCACAGGATTAATTCATCCAAGCTTCTCTTTTTCAACAACAGTTTGATAATTGCTGTTTTTTTTAAACATGGTGGAAAACACCCAACATGAGGGATGTGTTTACGATTTGAATCAAACCAGTGTAAAACAGGTAAAGCCGTATTAACCTTTTAAACTGTGTAGTTAAGTAAACTTGTTCTTTTTAAGAAGAAAAAAATAGTCCGATGCAAAGTACAATCGAAGGCGACCCCGATGCATTACTGGTTACTGCACAGACCTGTGGATGGATATTATTACTGACCAAGATTTTCATTTTATTTACAGTGTTTCTATTTTGAAAAAAAAAACTATTTTATAGATTATACTGAAATGAGAGATGTCATTAAATTTCTTTTTTATTTATGTATGATTTTTTTCCACCTTTTCCTTTCAATGGCTTCATCATATCTAGCATATGAAATCCAAAGTAAAGACTTAGTTTTTCTTTTGAGTACCTTGTAATACATGGAACAGCCAGCATACCAAGTGACTCAAGCAGTTAAAGTAAAATTTTCAGATTTACAACTTTTGAAAAGTTTCATAAACTTGTTGTACATCGCTATAACAGTAATTACAGTGCTTGTGTCCATCACATGAACAAAATCAATCCTCCCACATGTTTTTGAGTGAAAGGCTGCTTTCAGACCAGTAGAAAAACCCTCACCCGATTAATTATTTGGTCTTCGCTGTAGCATAACGAACACAAAAGCAGCAGATGTTGGAGTCTGCATTGCAGGGTGAGATGTGCTTTGTGTACAAAAGAACCCTTGATAACACCTCACCAATCACAGCAAGGGAAACAAAATCAACAGTGCTTTAAATAACACTGAGTAGAAAGATTGCTTGTACACAGCTATCTAATATTTACCACAGATTATTCCTGTGCTGATTAAGACTGATTGTATGCTCCCATCAGATATAAAAGCTTTATATGCAACATAACACACAGAACTTCAAAAAGTTTAAGAAATAAATGATGCAACCTGAAGACAAACTGACCTTGTGTCTTTACCTTTGGATATAAAGAAAATGTGTGTTTTATAAAAAGAATTACAAGTGTTTTAATGGATTCTGACTTCCTGGGGCTTTGCCATGCCTCCATGACGTAACCTACCCAGATTACAGCTCTTGGATTAGATTACAACCATCGTCTGCAGACTCTGTACCCAGTTAATCATTGACTGTGCTTCCTGAACCATAATTATAGAAAACGTAAGACATCCCACTGCCCCTTTACATCACCGTCATATATGTTTTACAATATCTTGAGAATAAAGCTCAATTTCAAACAGAGCTAATATGGTAGACTTTTTTTAACAATAGGGTCCAGCTTGAGAAATAGAAAAGAAAATACAAGAGTAGAGTTCAAGCGTAATAAACCAATTATACTCATACCACAAGTGTAAGAAATATTACAATCACAAAGAAGTGCTCGGCTGTGATATTTGATTGAATACTATATATTGCAATATTATCCAGATGTGCATCCCAATAATATACTGATCAAATTAAATATACTTTCACTGATATTGATGCCTACATGATAAGTATGTATTTTTGAGACCATGTTCAAACTCAACATCCCAGAAACAATCATCACAACCACAACCAACATTATTGCAATACAATGCAATTAATAACATGCAATGAAATTGCAGTTGCATGGCCTTAATGCTGTGCAGCCAAAATAGTTTTCAATTTTAAAGGGGTTGTGTCGATAATAATAATACAAATTTCAATACTAAGAAATACAAAATTAGTATGACCTAGACATTTTTCAGATACATATCAGATCTTAAAACAGCAACAAAATTAAAACATTGGATAATCAGCTTACATACAGCAGACCGAAACTCAAAGCTGCAGTGTTACATTATGCTGCAGTCTAACATCAATACACTTGCCTACATTTGAGGACTGGACACCCCTGAGCTAGGCAATGCTAATATAAGGAACACAGCTCTTTAAATATATACTCTTCTGCGCGCCCTGCTAATATACAATATATATATATATATTTTTTTTTTTTCACTTCAATAAAAAAAAATCCCAGCCAGCCGCAAAGTACCGGTCTTTCTGGAAAATTTGTTTCACTTTACTTTACACCGAAACACTATCAACTGCCTTACCCACTCCAAGGCAAGACACCCAAATGTTACCAATAAGACCGTTTAACCGTTTAAACTAAAAAAAAAAAAGGATCTTTAGCTAACATAAAAGCAATACCATATATCATGCAAATGTTTCTTTCACAGTAAGTTAGCTAGGCTACAGGATGCTAGCTGCTAAAAACTGAGCAAAGCTAACGCTCAAAAATGTATTCACTTTAGGGCTATTCAACAAATTTAAAATCTGTTTACATTTTTATATGTTAAACAGTATTAGTGCAACTATACCTAACCTTTCATCCTTTTCTAGCCTTTCATTTCAAGCGAGTACATGGTGCTGTTTGGTTAGCAAAAGCTACTTCAGGCTACATTGCCCAGCTCAGTTTCAACACATGTAACCAAACCTACCATGAGAAAAGTTTCCCTTTTCGTTTTTACAGTATCCGCAGCGGTAGCCATCATCTCCACCAAAATATTCAACTAAAGAATAAGAGCCGCTTAGTGCCATCCTTGCTATGTGGTGCACGGATGACAGCTGATCAGTCTAGTCAGAACATCCGGGCAACGAAGGCTCCGCCCACTGCGAGCTGTGCTGCGTTTAAAGACCTACAGTCTGGGTTGGTCAAAGGACATCCATTGCAGGAAATATAACAGTTTTATATAGAAATTACTTCCATAATCTTTTTCAAAAGCAGATGTTTGATATGAGAACATTATTAACATGCAAATGTGATTTTTTTTTTTTCATAATACAGCATTGCATTTCAATACAAGACAAACTGAAATTAATTTTTTGCAACGTAGGAAACTAAAAAGAATGTTGATTTGTACTCATCCCCTTAGATTAAGTGGATGAAATCCATTTACTAATAGGGTAACCTCTTTAAATGTAATTTAAACATATTTTATTTCAAAGGGTTAAATACATTATTTGTCTGTGGGTTGTATTTCTTTTATATATTCCATTTCCTTTTTATTTTAGTTTCGCAGAACTTTGTTCCGCTTTATCACGCAAAATTTTTATGTTTATAAAGTACATTTGGTCATAACATACATTGCGACTATATGGCTTTTGTTTCTGGTTGAAAACAAAGCACAAACTCATGATTTAAGAACTGTACACAATATTTATTAAATTATCTGTGCAAAGAAAACAGCAAAAAAAAAAATCTAAACCAGGATTTTGCACAAACAACACTTGCAGTGATTTATAAAACAAAGGGAAAGTTCTAATGTAGAAAAATAAATTAGAAAATTACAGATGGGCCAATTGTTTTTTTCTTCTTAAATTCATTAATAAAAATGAGCTTGTATAGGGTAAACAAAGCTTTAGTTCATGTCTACATAGTGCATTTCTTTTTCACTTAAGCACTATGTATTTCTTTATGAATCATTTTTATATGCTAAAGCATCCAATTTAAATTCAAAGGTTTCAAAACTGGTTCATAAATGTAGGCGAATGTAAATCGAAGGTAATCACCTTACTTGTGTTTCCAAGTTTTCTGCACTGATAAATTCAATTCACACAAGCGATGAAGGAGCAGCTAGAAAGTTGACTTTATGCCTTATGACACAAACCTTAAACTTTTTTTTTTTTTAGACATTTGTTGAGAGATGCTCTAATTCAGATTTCCCTGCGGGACAGGGATGTTCTCATGGAGATATTTCATGCTGCCTTGTTCAGAGAAGTCTGCCACCGTGTGTCCCTCCCCTCGAAGGACCCATTTTGTTGTGAGAAGCCCCTCCAAACCCACTGGTCCCCTGGCATGGATCCTTGCGGTGCTGATGCCGACCTCAGCTCCTGCAGAATTTAAAATGAAAATAAAACATTTGGAAAATCAATTATTTTGCAACTTTAAGCTTGCCTTATACTTTGCTTACCCAGACCAAAGCGGTATCCATCAGCAAAGCGAGAGCTGGCATTCCAGAACACACAGGCGCTGTCCACCTGCTGCAGGAACTGCTCAGCCGTTTCCTCATTTTCTGTGACAATGACATCAGTGTGGGAGCTGCCATATTTATGAATGTGGTCCACTGCCTCCTGCATGCTGTCTACCACCTCAATACAGCACTCTAAGTCCCCGTACTCTGTGCGAAGAGACTTCACCTCAGATGGGCTGAAAGTTAAATAAGATGCAAACCGAGGACCTGCATGGATCTTTACCTGAAAGACAAAAATAACCAATAAAACAGGACTCCAACCTGTCATCCATGAAGTTCTACAGGCTTTTCAACTTCCTATTTAAAGCCAATATCACTGTGAGAATAGATTTCTTACTTGTTCTGTTCTCAGCATATCGATGATCTGATCGAATAAAGGAGTACGCAGTAGATCTCTGTGAATAAGGAGGGTCTCCATGGCGTTGCAGGCTGCAGGGTAGTCACATTTGGAGTCCTTAACTAGAACAAAAGATGGTGTGTATTATTATTTAGAATTTCTTAACTGCACAGAGAGATTTATGACCACTAGTAAGTGTACTAAGGTATAAAAAAGATCAAGTTTAACTAATGGTTTCGTAACAGTATTCACATTTTTACTTTTGATGACAACCATAAACTAGCATGTATTTTATTGAGATTCTATGTAACAATCAACACAGAATGGTGTAGGATTTTATACTGCATAATTTTTAAAAGAAATATATCAAGTGTGGCGTGCATCAACATCCACTCACCTAGTTAACACTCCAAACTAAGCAAATGTTTTCAGATCTATTGTTTAAACATTGTTGCATTAATTTTCAGCATAAACACAACTGATTTGTAAACCTAGAAGGATTGTTAGACACCATTAGAGGGGAAAAAAACAAAGCGAAGACCAAGAAATAATGCAGACAGGTCAGACAAAAGGTGTGGGGAAGTTTACAGCAGGCTTAGATTATAAATATATATCCCATACTTTAAACAACAAAGTATCAATCCATGAACTGAAAGTGGAAAAGAATTACTAGAAATCTACTAAGAGACTACCATCCCCCTTTAATGACTGGCCAAGCAAAATTATGATTAATCAGACAAGCATCCAACAGGCCTGCTAAATCTGGAGGAGCTTCAGAAATCCACAGCACAGGTGGACTAATCTGTAAAGAGGAAACCATCACTTTAGTGGCCTTTGTAGAGGAATAGCAAAAGGAAAACCATTGTTAAAAAAAACACCAAAGGCCATCTGGGAGGGCAGCAAATACACATATCTCGAATATGCACTTCTTCACTATGAGCTGTAAAGTCCCAATAAAATATGTGTTACCTTCCTGTAGACAAAATTTGCAACAGTTCAAGGATTATAACAACCTGTCCATAACACCTGGTTTATACAACAACTTGTGCAAAATCACAGAGAATTATCAGTTCTATGTAGGTCATACATACCAACATCAATAGCTTTGTCTATGCTGGCTTCACTGTCAATGTAGACATGACAGATACCCTCACTGTGGCCCAACACAGGAATGCCCTTAGCTGCCCTTTGAATCTCTCGGACCAGCTCGGAGGAACCCCTCGGAATGATCAGGTCAATCATTTTGTCCAACTTGCAGAGATCCTCTACCTCTTCGCGTGTGCTCACCTTCAATTATAAAATGATATATTTTAGTGCAAGCAAAACATTTATTAGGGGACCAAATCTCCAATGAGTCTTACCAGCTGAATGGCATCAGCTACGCCATGAACTGAGAGCGCTTCCTGAGTGAGTTGGTGTAGGATTTTGTTGGTATTTGATGCTTCTTTGCCACCTTTAAGAAGCAAAGCGTTTCCACTGGCAATGGCCAGCGCTGCCACCTACAATGATTTTTTTAAACATATGATTCCTTAGATTTATTTATCAACCTTAAGTTTAAAGAAAAACAAAAGGCTTTAGGTGGCCATAGGACTGTTCTACCTGCGGGAGGCAATCAGGACGTGACTCAAAGATGACCAGCAGGACCCCGATGGGAACTGTGATCTGTTCCAGCTCTAGGTTGTTAGCCACCCTGGTCCTCCTCAGCACACGGCCCACGCTATTCCCGGATGACACGGCAAGCTGACGCAGGCCGATAGCGAGGCTGTTCAGCTTAGCAGTCGACAGACTGAGGCGATTGATCAGAGGCTGCGACAAACGACCTGTATGCAGACAGAGAAAAACATTTTTTCAAAGCTGAAAATAGAAATTCAACATGCTCCAATTAATAAAATTAAATCCACATTAATTTTAGGTTCTTTTTAAATGACTCAAAACTAACTCCCTTTATTTTGTTGTACAGTATGAACACAACAGGGTAAACTTTAATGCCAAATTTCAAAATAACATCAAATTCAGACAAAGATTATGAAAAAAACTCAAATTTTCTATTTAGTATACCAGTCTGTGTTTCATCTTTCTAAGGAAAAAGAAATTGGCTATGGCAGGTCAAACATCAAAAAAGGCTGAGGTTTTGGGCTAGGAAATGATAGATCAGTGCATCTCTGATCAAAACATATAATTTTTCTTCCAAAACCAGCAGCAACAACCTCTACCTGATGCTGTTGCTATCTCCATGTCTCTTCTGTTGGCACTAAGAATCTCTTCCTTCTTCTCTGTAAGCAGATCAGCAAGGTAGCAGATGATTTCTCCTCTCTGCAAAAACATAAATAAAAAAGGCAAAAATATTATGATTTAACAAAAGCAAACTATAACCAACATAGTAAACTACAGTATTTCCTCATTTCAGGTCATTTTTAAACCCACACACCTGTTCAGGAAGTAGAGAGGCCAGTGTCCGCCCAGCATGCCGGGCCATCTCCGTCTGCTGCTCCACAGTTGGTCCTGACAAGATAAGTAAATTCATACAAGTTAAATACGAGTGGACATTTAAAAACAATAATGGAATATGCAATACCAGTTGGTCTCAACAAGTACCTGCAGGTTTGACCTCGGAAAAAAAGGTGCCTATTTTTTTCCCCTCTACGATGTCGGTGATGACGTGTCCGGTGACTTTAGGGTCTGTGCCGTTGGCGATGACCACAGAGGTCCCTCCTTGAAGAGCCCAAAGAGCTGCTTTCACCTGAAAGCATCATATCATTATCATGTTCAAAGCTTAGATCTCCCTGTATAAAAAGAAGAGATAACATTGTCTGCAGCACTAACCTTGGCCTCCATGCCACCAATGCCAACTCTGGATTTTGTCCCGTAGGTGATTGACTGCTGGTCCCCGGGGTAGAAAATATCGATGAGCTTAGCGTCGTCTGTTCCTGGAGGACTGTCATATAAACCTGCCGGGTACAAACAGCAGCTTACACAGAAAGCACTGTCTCACATACGGCTGTGCAATAAATTAATATCTATCCGCATTAATATCTGATCAATATCAATATAAAATATGTCTTATAAAATGTTCAATAAATGCATTGTTCTCCGATCTAAAACCACAGGGAGATTTAGCTTCTCAACATCTGAGAGCCAAACCTAGCTAAAGTAGTAAAGCCTATTTTCAAAAGTTATGTTTCAATAGGGTTACAGTTTAAATTGGGGCATTTTCCAAATAGGTAAAAGAAAAATACTATCAGCAAATATCGATCTTAGCTGATAAGAAAGGTTTAT